GTCATTTTGTAATGATGTTAGTAATACATAGAGGTCTTATTTACTTGGTGATAACAAAACGTGTACTGAATGTAGAAACGAACATTGCATACAATGTGCAGAAAAAGAAGTGATCGATTACAATCCCAATGTTATTTTCCAAAACACCAAATGTATAAAGTGTTCACCGTCTTATACTTTGACAACGACTGGGTCATGTATCGCATCTTGTGATGTCGAAAACAATTATTCATATTATGTTGCAATTGATGGAGAACAAGTGTGTCAAAAATGTAGTGATATTTTGAAAGATTGCAACAAATGTAATTCAAACAACACTTGTTTGGAATGCCAAGAATACAGATATTTGAAAGAAGGAACTAATGAGTGCACTAAAACGTGTCCATTAACATATGGTATAGATAGTACTTATAGAAAGTGTGTAAAATGCACTCCAAATTGTGAAAATTGTAATTACCAGCCATTAAATGGAAATATCCAAATGTGTACAAAATGTGATCTTGGTTACTATTTGGTCAGTGATACAAATGAATGTGTGGCAAGTTGTGCTGATAAATACTATGCATATGAAGGTACACAAACCAACCCCCAAAAGTGTATTAAATGTGAAAGAAATTGCACTGTGTGTCCTGGAGATAAAGTTGAATATTGTTCCAAGTGCGAACCAGGTTACTTTTTATATGATGAAGATAGACCACAGGGGTGTCAAAGTCAGTGTGATGATGGGGATTATGAAACCACAGAAAATGGCATAGCCAAGTGCAAGAAGTGTTCTGTTATCAACAACTGTTTAACATGTGAATCACAAACGCAATGCACTAAATGTGGAAACAACCAATATGTACAAGCAGATGGATCATGTGGAGATACTTGTCCAGAAAAACACAGAAAGGGTGATGGGATTTGTGAAGAATGTCCACCACTTTGTAGTGAGTGTCAAGAATCGGGCAAAAACAAGTGTGATGTTTGTGATTCAAACACTTTCATTCTCGAAGACAAAACATGTTCAATGTCATGTGGAGATGGATATGGAGAAATCAAGGACACAACTCCAAATTGGACATGCAAGAAATGTGTTGATAATAACTGTAAAACGTGTGTAATATTTACAGAGGAGAAGTGTGTTGAATGTGATGATGATTTCTATTTCAATGAAAATACAAAAAGATGTGAAAGTGAATGCAACTTGACCACACATTATGTGAAAATATCAGAGAAGTTGCGAATCTGCTCATTGTGCAACAAAGAGTTTTCAAATTGTCAAACCTGTACATCACAGCGGTGCACAAAATGTGAAACCAATTATTACAATCAACCGGACACACCATATACATGCGAAGAAGATTGTCCAGATGCTTACTTTAAAGGAGATGGTGTGTGCACAAAATGTGCTGATAAGTGTCTGAGTTGTGACAACATTCAGTGCTTCAGTTGTGAGGAAAAATACGTTCTTGCCAACGACAAACTAACGTGCGAACGCTGCGATGATAAAAGTTGTTTAAAATGCAGTCAAGGAAAAGAAAAGTGTGATAAATGCGAATCTCCCAAGTTATTAGGTAAAGATTCAACATGTGTTGATAATTGTGAAATTGGGTATTACAATGTAAACGATGAATATTGTGAAATGTGTCGAGAACAAAACTGTGCGATTTGTGATGCAACAGAGTGTAATGAATGCGTATTAAAAAGTTATATGTTCAATGGCACCTGTGTTTCATCATGCCCAGATGGGTTTTATGAAAATATAAAAGTATGTAGCATTTGTTCAAAAAGTGCGAATGAATATGGTGTTTGCAAACAGGGGGATTTGGAATGTATTGGGTGCTCACCAAGAAATGACAATGGAAGTGCTTGGACTATACCCATGTTGTTAGCATTACTCTGTCTGGCAATGCTATAACACTGAAAAATCAAACTTATAAATGATTTGAATTTTTATTTTATTATTAACTATTTTAAATATATCTCACTCATTCATAACTCAAAAGAGGGAAGTCAAGAAAAAAAATAAACAAAAAATTGAGAATTTTTAATCAATTTCATTAATTTTCAAGTAATAAACAAAATCAGCGATTTTAAATAACAAATTACATGTCTTTAAAACATATGTTCGATTGAATGTTCTTTAAGTTGGTAATTGTTATACTTAAAACATTTTTGTATAATTAAACTAATGTTATGTGTTTATATGATTAAATAAATAAAAGTTATTTAATAATATTTTTTGATTTAAAAGATGAATTAAAACGCTTAAATTCAATTGTTTTTATTCATATTCAAATCAAAAAGAATACTTAATTAAATTCATGATAATTATTAATTAATAACTGGACTCAATTGTTTTATCAAAAATAACATAAAAACTACAAAAATTACAAACAATATTAATTAAGCATTTCTTGTAATTGCTCAACCACATTTTCAATATTCATTCTTTGTGAAGAATTATGTTTCCAACATTGTTGTATTAAATTGTATTGATCATCTGACATGTTTTCTTTTTTCTCAAGCCTTTTCCCAGAAGTGACCATTTCCGCAATGTTCCAAGGAAATTTGAACATCTCTTTGGGGTAAGCCTCGCACCATCCGAATACCTCAAACATTGTTATTGCAAAAGAGTATATATCAGCACATTCTCTATAGTTTTCTTGTTGTAAAATTTCAGGCGCCATGTAAATAGGTGTACCAATACCTTTTGTAAAAGTCATGTTAGTCATTATTAAATTCACGTTTCTAGCACTCCCAAAGTCAGTCAGTTTACCGTTCACTTTGGTGTTCAAGTCAAGAGAAAAGACAAGAATGTTGTCTGGTTTGATGTCTCTGTGTAATATCCCATTTGTATGTAAATAACAAATACCTTTTGCCGCATCTAACATCATTTTGATGCGGATTTTTATAACAACTTCTTCACTCTTCCTTTGTTTCATTAGATCCTGCAAAGACCCATATGGAGCAAATTCGGTGACTAAACAGACTTTGTTTGGTATGCAAACGGCGCCATAAAAATAGACGATATATTCACTTCTAAATTTGTCTAACATGTTAATTTCATTCTCAAAATCATCAATGATACTTTCTTCTTGTCTTCCTTCAATGTGTTTCAGTTTTTTAATTGCAACGACATTACCTCGATACTCCCCTTTATAAACAATACCAAAACTCCCTTCTCCAAGTTTCTTCTCTTCGTTTAGTTCGTGGTAGTCAAGACGAGTTGATGATGTAGTAAATGCTCGAATTGGGATGTATGTTACATCTTGTTTTCCCACTTCTAGATCCAGTATTACACAAGCGATTTTATCTTCTATTTTTGATGTAAAATTTGGTGTCAAATAAACTTCAAATTCACAGGCCAAATTAACGTCAAGTGACACTATTTTGGGAGAAGTTCTTATTTCATATACATCACAGCTGTTTTTGGTTGTGAATTGAATTTTGATTTTATGTTTCCCACAATTTCCAATACATATTAGTTGACGATTTTCCTCCAACACGGCAATTTCATTATTTTCATTATTTTCATTGTCGAATATCAAAATGTCTTTATTGGAACAGATCGAACCGCCTTTGGGGGTAAACTGAACGTTTGAATGTTTCATGTTAAATATACACACGTTTTTATTCATTTCTTTTTGCTTGTGTTTTTCATTTAAAATAATAAACGCTGTTACACTCACTACAACTATTATAATAATAACAATAGTAGCAATAATTGGTAAGCTAATAACAATTGCAAGATTTAACTTCTCTTCACATGATAAACCATCTGAGGATACTGCCTTATTTTCACTACAAGATGTGCATACACCATCCGATGCACTTTGACAAAACTCAACCCTTTGAAGACGAAAACATGTCAAGTCTGAAAAAATATAATTTTTTGAACAAGATAAACATAAAGTTTTTGATAAACATTCTTCGCATCCTTCAGGACACTTATCACACCTGAAGTTAGTTGAATTGATAAAATAATTTGCTTCACATTCTGCACATCCGAATTTAGTTTTTCTTAGACAATGAGTTAAAGTGGTATAATCTTGGCACAGCGCGCTTTCTGATAAAATTTGGTAATATCCATCTTTACAAGATAAGCACATTTTATCATTTAAACACGTTGAACACGTTTTGTCGCATTGTCTACAATCTAAATTTTGTTGATAATAACCATCTTTACATAACGCACACCCTTTGTTTTGTGGCATTACTAAATTACACCTTAAACCAAGTGCACTTGATTCTTCACACATTGACTGCGAATTTAAAAATGAAGAAGAGTTACAGGTTAGACAATGAGTCGAATTAAAGCAATTTTCACAACCATTTTCACATTGTTTACAAACATTTTGAGAATCTAAAAAGTATTTTGGTGCACATTTTAAACACCCTTTTGTACTTTTTAACACACAATTTTTAATGTTTTCGTCTTTCTTGTTGTTGGTTCGGTTGTCATTTTCTAAAATTGAGTAATTATAGTTCAAAAATAGTTTTTTTGTTATATCTTCCAATTTAATTTCACATTTTGAGTCGAATAAATAAAACCCATTTGAACATTCGACAATTTGTGTTTCATTTGTTGTTTTTGAATAAACGTTGTATTTAGCATTGGTATGAATGGGTAAACAATATAACTGTTCAAAATTGTCAATATTTTGCGAAGTAACCTTGAGATAATTGGGTTCACATTCTAAACAACTTTTACCATCACTTTTTAAACACTTGAAAATAGAACTTTCAATACATTTACCATTTTGAAGTAAATAATGTGAAGAACATAAGATACAAACACATTTGTTGGTTTTTAAACAATTATCATCAATATCACATTGGGAACATTTGTTTGAAGCTAAAACATAATTTGGAGGACATGATGTGCAATCACTTGTATAATAAATTAAACAAACATTGTTATTTTCACACTGACCACTCAAATAATTTAACACCTGTTTTTCACTACATTTTAATGAAATTTTGTTAGTTAAAGAAAAAATACACTTTTCTGAATTTTCTAACAAGGGTTCAAAACACATTTGACATGTATTACTCTCATCTAAAAATTGATTTTTATCACATTGAAAAATTACATTATTTTTTATTTTAATGGTTTCACTGTGTTGCGTTAATTCACAACGATTATCTGATGTTAAAAAGAAATTGTTTTTACATTGCAAGCAAGTGTTGTACAGTTTTGTTTTTTTGTTGTATTTACAATTCGTGGGGTGTTCTCCACAATTCCCATTTGAAGAAATACCACTTTCGCATTCTTCACATGTTTTCTTTGAAGATGATAAACACGTTGAATCATCTCTGTATACACATTCATTTTCAATTAAAAATGATTCATCTGAACAAATTTGGCATTTACCTTGTGTGAGTTGTGATATACATTCATTTTCGTTCATTTTACAAATTCCTTTGTAAAAATAATTTTGTGAATCACATTGAATACAATTTCCATTAAATACTTCATATGGAGGATAACAATTGTGACATTTAGTAACTGAATTTGTGACTGAACAAGATAAACAGTTGCTTATACCATTATAACACGAATCGCACAATCCAGAAAAATTTTGATAATTATTTTTGGGACATGTGCACTTGTTATCTGTGGTTAATATATAAGTTTCTTTACATTTTGTACAGCCTATATTTTCAACACAAAAATTTAAATCACAATTTTCATCACAATTCACACATTTTCCATTCATTAGAAATTTTCTTGTAACACAAGATGTGCAAAACGTGCTTATTGAATCACAAGTTTTACAATTTGAATCACACAAAGTACACGTATTTAAAGCAGACATATAGAACCCATTTAAACATTGAGTACACCCAACGTCATTTACACATTTGTCTATCGCACAATTTAAGTCACATTTTAAACACTGACTTTCTTGTGCCGAATTTGTTAAATAATAACCTTCATAACATGAAAGACATGCTGTTGGTTGTGAACTTTGTTGACACGTTTTACAAGTTGGATCACAGGCATTACAAACTCCATTGTCGACATAAAATCCATAATTACATTTAGTACATCCAATATTATCAAAACAAAAAGATGAATTGCAATTTGTACCACATGACTTGCATTCTCTTTTGTCTACATAGTAATTGGTAACGCAACTGTCACAATTGTATATTGTTGAACTTGTACATGTTAAACAAGGAAATTCACATTTTTGACATTCTTTAAAATAAGTGTTATGATAGCCAGAAGAACACTTGTTGCATTCATTTCCAGTACAATCATCACAATAAGGACAATGTCCACATGTATTAGTATTAAGAAATAGACCATCTTGACATGAAACACATTTTGTTGCTAGATCTACACATGTGAGACAATTTGAATCGCATTTTGAACATGTATTTCCAGAAATATAATACCCGAATGCACATTCTGTACACTGAGTTGTTGTACATATATTACAGTTTGGAAACAAAACACATTGTGTATTTTTGGTAATGGTATTTTTAACAAGTTTTGAATTTCTTTTGTTTGTCAAATGATAGTAGTTATGAGTATTGTCAAATCGTAAAGTTAAATTACTTGAATATATTGGGTGTATATAAAAAACTAAAAGGGTAACCCTGTGTTCACAAAATAGTGAAGTTTCAAAATAATTAGCGTTGGTACCATTCAATAAAATATTATCACTAGAGACATACATAAAGGTGTTTATAGGACATGTGGCATTCTCTTCTACACAAACAATTTGATCCGAAAAGTGACACCATTTTACTGCTACAACCAATGTAACAACAAGCAGAAGTTTAATCGTCATAATCAAAACGAAATTAATTTAAAAAGTGAAACTGTTTTACATTTTTATGTCTGGGAATAATTATTATAAATAAGAAAAACACCCATCAAAAATACATATATTCATTTTTATTTTTAAATTTAAATAACTTTATACGATTGGTTATTTGAAACTTAAATGTAATTATAACAATATTAAAATATAAAACAGCTATTGATTATTCCATTATAAACCTTTTCAATTTCCCTTTTGAAATAAAAAAACAATATGGTTTTGAAATTTAAATAACTTTTTAACCAAAAAAACTCAATATCAAAACAAATTAAATTGCTATTTTGGTGTATTAAAAATTAAAAACAAATATTTAATTAATTGATAATATTGTTTTGTTTTGTAAAAACAGGTTTTGATTACAAAAAAAATTTGGAACTAAATTTAATTTCGATTCAAATACAAAGTGGATAAAAACCTCTTCTATTTTTAACCATTTACTCTCGTTTAAATAGTTTTAAATAAAAGTTGATTAATTGTATTATACAATAAATTATTTCTGACAGAATATATTTACAAGCAAATATTTGTTATATGGTAAATAGTACCATCTATACTATTAGAGTGGTAAAAAAACTAAAGAAATTTGATTTTTCTTTAAAATAAGATGAACTATTTTTAATGAGAAATACAGAAGAGCCATAATAAGTTTTATTTATTGTGTTTTATATTAAGATTTATATAAAACATATTACAATAACAAAATTTATCTTTTTAACATATAAAGAGCACCAGAAAACTGTCGTACATCAGAAAATAGTCGTACACATTGTTTTAAGGTTTTTTTCTGTATAAAGTCGGGTTTTTATTTTTTCAAACCCCAATTTTTTTCCTGATTGTTTAGTCAAATTTTATATGTGAAAAAATATACCCGATTTTTTGGTTTGTTTGATACTAAAAACACAAGTGTACGACAATTTTCTTGCTGTACGACTATTTTCTGTTGGTCTTTATATTACAATTATGAAAAATTTTTTAACAATTTTATTAAATATGGTAATATTGTTTGTTTACATTTGGTGTAATGTATCAATTACATGAAGCAGATTGTTTAATTTATTGTTTTTAACAAGTTTTATTATTTGTGTATTTTTATTTCCATTAACTTTTTTCATAAAAGACTTAATTGCCCTTAATTATTGTGAAATATAATTAATAAAAAATTAATAAACAAATTTATATTTTGATATCATATATAAATTATAATAATAGTATATAAATAATAAAGTAAATATTGGTATGGTTTCAATTAAATCAGTGTCGAACAGGTTTACCTTGGGTTAGTGTAAACCACGTGATACGGAGCATTATAAAGAAGGCTCAGGAAGACACACGCAAACAATCTGTTTGTGCACCCGTTTTATCCACGTTTTATCTTCCCCAGTCGCGGATCACCCGCTTGCGGGAAAACGACATCTGCGTCTACCCAGTACGGACAAAAAATTGGTTTCCACGGGCGTACAAACAGTAGCTGAGAAGAGGTATAACACATAATTTTGATTTGAATTTAGGTCAAATCAGTCGGTTTCAACACAAAATCATAAAGATATTATTATTTATATAATGATTATAATATTAATTTAAAAACAAAAAAAAATTGTAAAAAAAGATATATAGATCGCGATGATGACAAAAATTTGTCGAGCGACGAGGGAGTGCTTATCGATATTGATGGATTCGTATTTTTTTCATATTACAACAACATGAAATAAGAACTTAAATTCAAAAATGTTGTTTAACCACTGTCGGAACCTATCTAATAGTCTTGAATTGTCGATAAACATTAAAAACATGAGAAAGAATGACAGTCGTGTACTAAAAAGAATAAAATGATGGTTTGTGTTTTATCGGAATAAAAATATTGACGACGGGAAAAGTGCTAACAATTTGGGTTAATTCCAAAAATTGCAATCGATTGATCTTTTCGTTATAATTTTTGTTCAAATCTTGAGGATTATGTCTCTGTTGTTATACTATTTTTAAATAAGATATTGTGTGTCAAAAAATCCTCAGAAAAAATGAAACGGGTTTACAATGAATTTTTTAAGAAAAAGCAAAATTGACATTTTTTTCTATACTTTTTGAAAAAAAATAAAAGGGGAAACAGCGAAAGTGTTAATAAAAAAATAAATACTTTATCGAAACGAAATTTTTTTTATAATCAAGTATTTTAAACTTGGATGATTGAATTAATAGAGTCAGTCTTCTAAAAATACTCCTATAAAATTATAAAACCTGTCAAGTTGTCAATTAATTGGTCAAAACCAGAAAGAGATATTTTATATTTAGAAATAGAGTTGGATATCGAATGTATTCCAACTCCGCAAACATGTTCAAGAAACTTGTTCTCCGATGTAAATTCTTCGGTTTTACACAATACGCGACTCGTTATGAATATTTCTTGAACAGTTATAAACAAATGTATTTTTTGGTTTTAATTATTATATTTTATTATTGTTATACAACATTTCTTATTGTCCAGATTTATATCGTAACTTGTTAAGGATAATATTTTTATTAATGAATTTAAAAATTTGAGGGGTCAAAGACATATTGATGGGTTTTAACCATACGTGTAATATATTCATGATATAAAAAAATATATTTTAAAGTCTGTTTTCTATTTAATGTTATTTGGTTTTTACTATTATTTATAATAAAAGTATTATAATTTATAATAAAAAAAGTGGTTTTTCTGAAAATGGTTTGTATTTTATTTTTTTGTTTTTTTTAATAAAAGTGTGCTAATAATAACAAAAAATAAAATTGCTTGACAACTGAAAAACTTATAGAGCTAAACGAAGAATAACTTGGTGTTGAAATTCGATTACAAAATAAACTGTGCCAATTGGGTTATTCAAAATGAATAAAATGTCATATTAGATAGAGCAGACGCGTCAAATTATCATTTGGAAAAATGCGAGGTAATCTAAAGTTAGTTAACTGGCTAAAAAGAACGAGACGCAAAAAACCGTGTTTAAAAAAATAAAAATGAAATTTTAGTTAATGTTTTTGTTTAACAGATTCATGAGGATTGTTAATTTTTTGAGGATGGTAAATATCTTAAACATAATTTCTTTCAATTTGGATTTTTTTGCCTAAGATCAAAAAGGTATATTTTGAAACACGTGATTTTCTTTAAAAATGCTATTTATGGATTTTTTGAAAGATGATTCTTGGAGTTGATTTTTACAAAAAAATAATCTATTTCTATTTTCTGATTTACCATTTGACCAACCTTGGTTCATATGAAAACAATAAAAATTAATTTAATTTATCGAAAAAGTCAATTTTTTAATCAAAATCACAAAACAAATTAATCTAACAATTTTTAATTTTTTTTCACAAAAAATACAATTTATTATAAATCAATTTATGATATTTCAAACAATAAAAATTGATAGCAAATAACGTACTGATAATTAATACTTTATGCGATGACAATTTATGTATTTGCGCAAATTCAAAAAAGAGGTTTTGGATATCGATAAAACAACGATTGATAAATAAACAAATTTGTAAAATTATTGTTTTTGTTATAAACGGTTTTATTTATTTTTCAAAACATATACACACAAGAAATATATGTTTATATTAATATTTTATATAATACAATATTAATTTCAATAAATGTATCTTTAATTCAATAATCAAATTTATATATTAATTGGCGTTTTTGTTGTGTTTTGACGATTTTTGATATAATCAATTATCAAAACCCACTTTATAAATAATCTTTGAAAATATAATGTTAAATATAGATTTTAAATCAAT